CGGCCCTTACAGACTGTCCTGGAACCCATCCAGGAATGTAGGGTGGAAGATCCACAGATAGACACTTCCCATGTTACCCTGTCTTAACTCCAGAACACAGTCTAGCCATGATGATACCAACTTTGAATCAAGTCACATCTTCAAAACCTTCAGGTGATACAAAACTGAAATCAAATTTGTTAAAAAGAGTCCTTGCTTTCACCTCACTTGTCTGAGCAGAGGATGAAAGCTGCACCTACATGATTTCCTCATCAGGACTACACTAAATTCACAAAACAGGAGAAAGAATGTATCCCTAATCTAAAAAACTGTCTTACTCATAGATAAGTAGGAATAAGAAATGGTCTTATTATATTTCCAACTGCACTGGATATTGATAGCCAGGCTGAACAATTTGTAGTGTTTCCTGCAGAGTATGAAAGCTGCAAGAATCATGAGTTCTGCTAAAGATCATTCTGTCCTGCTAAAGATCATTCTGTCCTTCTCTAAGATCATTGTAATCAATGTTAGAAATCAAGTATGTTAGCTTTAAATGACACCTAAGTCCCAAAGGGCTGTGAATGATAAGCTGGGATAACAATCTCTGATGAATAGTGATTGCTCAGGCAGAGGTCCATGCTGTCCCTCTTCCCACCCATGCTAGAGTTGTGTCTCCATGTGGCAGCCACTCACAGTCTAGAGTTTACATTGAGGTAAACCTGTGCGAAGCATAGGTTTCTTTCGTACACTGGATTGCAAACTGGCAACTCAGCAGCTATGCTGTGAATAGCTGAGACATCTCTGCAGAGAGATGCTTGAAGGACAGTCGGAGGCAGCAGCCAGAAAAAGCATCACAAGATAAATAATTTCCTCTTGTTGTTCAGACTCCTAAGCTTATTTTAAGGAATATTTGTTGTGCTAACAAACAGGGACACAAATACATTACAGTGCTTTAAGTACTAACTCTTTCTTTCTTTCTTTCTTTCTTTCTTTCTTTCTTTCTCTTTTTTTTTTTTTTTTTTCCCAGATTTATTTCAAACAGAGCTAGGACCATAACCTAGGGATTGCATCTCCTGGTTCCTTGCTGTAATCATCAGACACCTTCTTCTAAATGTGCTGTGCTGGCATCAGTCCTGTACATGGTATACATGCAGAACAATTAAGAAGTATTTGATCTGAGGTGTATCAAGCTGAGTATTTTCTGCTCTGTTGGGTTTAATTTAAAAATACACCAAAAAAACACTGTGAGCACTCTGCTGCATGATGCTCTGTGACTCCTGAGCCCCTGGCTGGGCTGCAGTGCTGTCAGAGGGTCCTGCCTCTCACTTGGCCACTGATCTGCAAAGTGAAACAATCAGGAACTGCTGGGTCTAAAGCTGCCGCAGTTCGGCTCGCTTATATGTCAGCTGCGGCTCTTATTTTATCCTTACGTGCATTTTACAGGTCTATGGAAGAAAAAGCTAACTCTGAAGTTAGAGGCCGTCAGGGACATGTGGTTTTTATTGGGGACACTATAGTACACACAAATAACAATAAAATCAGTGGCACAGATGTCACTCTGGGGCTTTGAGTCCAGATTTTTATCTATTACTGTGATGTAAATCTGGAATAATTTGGAGATATTTGGTACCTTTGAATATTTGATCTTACACTGAAATTTAGGACAGAAGAACATGAAACATAAAACCAATTGGATTCCCAGACCAGGTAAAGGAAAAAGATGCTGAAATAGTAGTTTAAAGGTAAAACTTAGAAATGGGAATATAAAACAGGGGTGAAGAATGGATAAGAGGAGAAGAGGTATATTTTAAGGTAAACAAATGTTGCAGACTGGAATCTTGCTTGAACAAGATACATGAGCATACTTCCTGTTGATGAGAACTACCCTGCACTTGCATCCTCAGGTGAAAAGCAGTAGGACAGAATAGGTCAAATGTGGACCCAGAAACGTGCAATCTTTCAGTGCTTTTCACTTTGGGCAGTGTCACTACTGTCAAGTCTTGCCTTAATTTTCAGAAGTCCATCAGGATAAAAAGAAACAGAGCTCTGCTCGGCAGAGGATAAGAAATGGATTGGAGAGATTTCAGGCACAAACTAGCTCTGGAGTTGAAATACTGCTGTGTCTGATAGATCTCTGATGATGGAGGCAGTGGGCAGTGGAAATGAAGCCTTTTAAGTTTTAGAAGCCCATTTTAGCAAAGGCCCGAGGCCAGTCCGGAACAGACTATGGCATGAGAACATTTAATGACAATTCTCCTGGTCAGAGACCTTTTATTTCCACAGGATATGAACTTGGTCCTCACACCCTTCCTGGGACAGCCATTTGAGTCCTTGTCTCGTGTTGCACATGACTTTGTTCATGGCCATTTCTTCCACCTAGCAGAGATTCAGAGAGTCTTCTACCAGTTATACAGGCTTTTTCTTGATTAGGACAGCTCTTTGAATTCATCCCAAAATTCCTCCAACAGTTGTGTCAGAATTCCATCCAAATTAAGAAATGAACATCTGCTTTCTTTCCTAATCATCACACCTCTGTGGCTGGGTCATCTTTGGACACTAAATACAGTGAAAACCATTTTTTACTGGTGTGCTATGACCTATGTCCTGGCTGGTTCCTTGGGGTGAGTGGGCTTTACTTTATTAGATCTCAGTTACTCTCAGTTTCTATCTCAGTGTCTGCAGGGAGTTTCCTGCCTGGGCACCACTCTTTAAACCCCATCTCTTTGATTGCCAAGGTACCATGTTAAGTGTTAAGGTTTGGACAACAGGCCTAAGCCAGAGCTGACCTATAGATGAATCCTGTATATTTTATAACTGACAACCATTGTGCTAGTAGGTATTGTACAAGGTTATAACAAACCACCTATGCTGATGTAAAACGTGCTAAAGTGTTGAAGAACTGAGGCCTGAACAACGGGCCCTGAGCCGAAGTTTCTAACTTAGTATGTAGTTATTAGTGAAATATATATGCTTATTAATGAAAGATGGAGCTTAGATATCATAAAAGATGTCTATCCTTCATATATCTTTATCCTTCTTTATGCAGGGGTGTTGTGGTAAGGTATTAGCTGTCTTTTTCTATCTGCCAAGCCACAGAAATGCGGTGTCAGATCACAGCTAACCCCTGCAGGAGGTTAAAACCTTTGCGGGAACAAAAGCACAAACGCCAATATGGTGGTTGCTATTTGCTCAATTTATTAACTGCGCAATTGCTTTATATATGTCTTTCTGTACATCGCGAGATCTATAGTTCCCTGTTCTTTCCGTACATCACGAGATCTTTCCTGTGCCTCTATTCTTCCCGTACATCGCGAGATCTTCCGAGCACCTCTCCCTACACAGGGGCAAGTTAACAAGGTCATGGATAAAATGGCATCTGGAATATACAGGAAGGTAGTCTGTTACTAACACTTTTTCAGATTTAATGAGTTAGCTGGTAGAGGACACTGACATTTGGGAGAGCAAAACGCAGCACCTCCTGTGAAGACACCAGTCCCTCACAGCTTCCTGCAGCTCCCTCTCACTCTTGACTCTGTGCACTGGTTTCTTTTCCTCAGAAAAAAAATTAAACATCATCAACAAAAAGGATTTTCTAAACCTTTCATTTTGGTGGATATTTCAGAGCCGAAATGGAAGCAAACATCAGCAGGGCCGGTCTCTCCCCACAAGTGGGGGAAGCCATGATCCAGCGCGGGAAGTAAAAGACATGAAGAGCATGGAGATGGGGCAGCACCTTGCTTCACCTGAGCACCCAGGAGGAGCAGTTGCACAAAGACCTATCACATGGCAAAGCATTTATTTCTGTTACTAAATGGGTTTTGGAGCTCCAGGTGGTACCAGCCCCAGATGGGGATACCAAGCGTGACAGCCTGAGCTAATTAAGAGAAGCAACTAGGCACTCTTCCACAATTATTTTTATGAAAATCAGAGCAGCTGTTGCTGAAGGTAATCAGTCTCCCAGCAAGTTCAATCAGACACCGAGCATTTGTCACCCCTTAGCCCAGGGCTGCCATGAGGAGATAACGGTTGTTCATTGTCACGGTCTACTTGGTGGACTTGTAATGGTTTGTTTACTATGACCTCAGAAGTGCAAAATTAAGGCGACCAACACCAAAGGGGATTGCATCAATCAAGTAAGTGAAACTTTATTGTGTTGCCCATGAAGCAGCACATGACAGAGGTGGACAGAAGAAAGTGGAAAAGTAAAGTTGAGTTTAGAGAGAAGAGAAAGAGAGATTATAGCTACCACCACTGATCTCAAGACTTCCTAATGGTCCTGGGTCCAGCCAGCACTCCATCATCAGTCATCATGATTCTTAGTGGGGAAGTTTCATATATTGCCAAGAAGTCATGTTTTAAGCTTAGTAACACACCTTACTCCTCTCTACCCCTGGGATCTCTGTCCTTCTCAGAATATCTCTGCCTTTCTTAGGGGGAAGCTACCACACATGCACAGGGGGGAATGTCTGAGGCCTGGTCAGTCTTAGAGATGGGTAGCCTTCAACCAGGAGATGTGTTTTGGTATTACAATAAAGCAAAGTTGATTATTTCTTCATCAATGCTAAGACAATGGTTACAATCCATCTTCTTTTGACAGTAGCTATGTGGATATCTCTAATGGCTCCAGTTAGGCTCAGGTACCAAACAATAGCACAGCACTCTTTGTACCATATAGTTCTGCATTCAGGAGACTTTGCACCACATTCCACTCTTAAGATCAGCAGCTGTGTTCCAAACAGGTCATTGTCAGGCATCTCACTGTCCATATCCCTGATAACAATGTTGGAACAATGCTAATCTGACCAACTCTTACAGTCGCCCACCTCAATTTAACCGCTGCATAAGCTCCGTCTGCGGCAGACTCCGCCCCGCTAAACGTCTTTCCCCCCGTAGCCGCGCCCTTCCCCTCCTTCCGGGCTCTCCCGGCTCTCAGAGATGACCTCACGCGGCTCTTCTCTCCACCCCTTCCGTTTTTCCCCGCCGTTGTAAGCGAAGTCTCTATCAGTTACGTCACTCGCGGCGCGCCGGAGCCGTTCTCGCCGCACCGCTGCAGTCGCGTACCGTCGCCATGAGCTGCTCCGTGACGTGCACCGCTTGGGTGCTCTGCGGCGTTGCCAAGGAAACGCCGGACAAGGTAAGGGTGGGGGGCCGGACTGAGGGACGACTCCTCGCCGCCCGCCGCCCTTACCCTTCTCTGTATCCACCCCGCAGGTGCAGCTCAGCGAGGAGGACCTGAACCGTCTCATCGAGAAGGCCCAGGAGAGGCTAGGGTGATCCAAGGGAGCGGAGTGGGGCGGGGGCGGCCGGGCAGGGGCGCAGTGCGTCTCCCGGGCTCTGGTGGAGGGTGGAGTTGGAGCCCCGCGGACCTTGCCGCTGACAGAGCTGGGGAGGGGCAGCCCCCGGGCATGGGGAGAGTTTGGGCATCAGCGTGTAAGTATAGAAAGTATGAGGAAATAAGGTCTTAAAAATCTTGAAGAAATGCAAGAGTCATCACATATGACAAGGCTTGGGGGGGGGGGGGAAATGAAT